CGGAGCCTCTGAGGTGTACGTACACCCGGGTTGGAGGGTCACCTGAAGATTTGGGCGTCGTGGTGAGCTGCTTTGCTTTCGACCCATTCGCCCACTGCGGGGGGCGGCAACTCCGATATGGGCCGCGAGGCCTCCAGCGCCACGTAGGCCATGTCCACCACTGCAGCAACGCAGTGTGCAGACACCCCACACTGCAGCAGCAACAGGTGTGCAGACACCGCACTGCAGCAGCAACAGGTGTGCAGACCCCACACTGCAGCAACCCAGTGTACAGACACTCCACGCTGCAGCAGCAATAGGTGTGCAGACACCCCACGCTGCTGCAGCAATACGTGTACAGACACCCCAAACTGCAGCAGCAACAAGTGTACGGACACCCCAGACTCATCCAGCACCAGGTGTACAGACACCCCAGACTCATGCAGCACCAGGTGTACAGACACCCCACCCTGCAGCAGCTGCAGGTTTACAGACACCCCATACTGCAGCAGCCGCAGGTGTTCAGACACCCTCCACCCCACAGGCCAGCCAACGCAACCCACAAACCCCCAGCTGGACAGACACCCCACAAACTACGCCCAGCTGCACAGACACCCCACAGACACGCAGGTGTACAGACACCCCAGCCTCCCACGGGGAAGTTCGCACTTGAAGAAAAAAGAAAAAGCAAAAGCCGCTCTTTTAATGGCGCACTTTAGGGCTGCTCAGGTGTACGTACACCCCAACACGCCGAGGTGTACGTACACCTCAGCGCACTGAGACATGCCGCCACCGCGTCGCCAGTAGATAAGAAAATAAAAATAAAAATAAAAATAAATAAAAATAAAAACAAAAATACAAATAAAAATAAAAATAAAGTAGAAGTTGAGCAAGACTCGGAAGGTGAGGAGCTGAGGTGTACGTACACCCGTTGGCCACGAGGGAATAGTCAGCAGAAGGCCGCAGGTCTTCTTCTGGAAGTGGTCCTTCATCATCATCATCATCATCTGCTGCTGCCGCTGCTTTTGCTGCTGTTCCTGCTGCTTTTGCTGCTGCTGCTGCTGTTTTTTCTGCTGCTGCTGCTGCCTCAGGCGCCTCTGCTGCTGGCGTTGCTGCCGCTGGCTGCTTCTCTAGCGGCAAAGATGGAGAAGCAGCAGCAGCACAGCCTGCTGCCTTCTTATCAGCTGCAGCAGCAACTGCTGCTGCTGCTGCTGCTGCTGCGCTGCTGCCTGCGTTGTCGGGCCGCGTGTTCTCATCTGTATGCACCAAAGACTGCAGAGTCTGTGCAGCCAACACAGCAGGAGCCGCAGCAAGGGTTTAGGGTTTGGGGTTTAGGGTTTGGGGGGCTAATGGAGCAGCAAGCAGACGAAATCAGAAGCCAATCGGCAGCAAACACGAAAGAAGCTGAAGGGACAGAATGAGGGGCAGCAGCAGCAGCAGCTGCCCGGAGGAGACAGCGGCAAGACACGAAGACACAGGGACAGTGTGTGGCGTTTACTTCGGTCGCTGGACCTGCAGCCGCAGCAGCTGCTGCTGCTGCTGCCGTTGCAGCCGTTGCTGCAGCAGCCGTTGATGCCGTTGATGCGTCTGCTACGTCCATTTCTCCCGGCTTGTCCGCAGCGCGAGGTGTAGAGACCCTGGCGGCGCGGCAGCAGCTGGGGTGTACGTACACCTCAAGTTAGGAAAGACACCGGCAGCGGCAGCAGCTGCTGCAGGGAAGGTTAGAAGCAGCAGCAAGCCCTGGGCTATCCAAAAGGGAAACAAACAAAAACAGCAAATAAAAACGAATAATTAAATAAAATAATTAATGCAAAACTGCCCTTTTAAGCCAAACACACACAGGCCGCCCGATGGGGGCGCAGGCTCGAGAGAAGCCGAGAAGCGCTGGGGTGTCTGTACACCTCAGGCCGGAGAGTTAAGAAGTAGGGCTTGAGCTTATCTCCACGGCTTGCAACTTAAATTCAGATTTTATTTTTCAAATTAAAAGAATTGGAGAGAAAAGAACTGGAAACAAACACCCCGGCGCCCCCACGGGGTGTACAGACAGCAACACAGCCCCAACCCTCGAGCGCATGCATATTGCAAAGTCTTCAAAAAAGTCCCAATGGGGCAATTTAAAGATAAATTCTTTTGCTTTTACTGTATTGTCTGTTTTTAATTTGACCAATTTAATAATTAAATGCTAACAGGTCATATTTTCACGCAGTCAACTCGTTGCCTCCGCACGCCCCCCAGTAGACAAATGGGTCCACTATTATATATTTATCTTACATACGTCTACTATTATTTATTTAATTGTCTATTTATACAAATGGACAAATCCCCTTTCCTTTACTCAAATAAAAGATTTAATTCGTCTTGTGGATTGCTTAGTTAGCAACGGGTGTGTCACGCGGTGTACATACACCACGCGAAGTATTAACGAGCATGAAAAACTACTAATGCAGTTCTACTCGGAAATCGAAGAACAAGCAGATTAGGCTTATATATACATATATATCTGCACTATATGTGCAGACATAAGTAGATAAATGCACAATGCACATGGAAATAGAGTATATACACGCACTGCACAAATATTGTATACTACATACTACATTCACGTCGAGCGTACATACACCTCATTCTGTACAACAATACATGCGCTCGTTATATGTGTGTAATTGTGTAAGGCTGGACAATAATTTCGAACTCTGAAGTCATTTTATTGGCATTGATCCAATAATTAAAAAGGCATTGTAAAAGTATCTTTGTCTACGTTAATAATCTTGCTAGTGCCATAAAGGCACTTTTTGAAGTATTCTTCTTGGACTGTAAAGGCATTATAATGGGCATTCATTAAAATGTCACAAAGGCATTAGAATGAGCACTCATTGGAATATTCGAAAGGCATTCTAATAAGCATCCATTAAAACACTATAAAGGCATTAGAATGAGCATTCATCAGAATATTAAAAAGGCATTATGCGCTCCGTCTATGCAAAAGCAGCAAAGAATTATACAAACAATAAAGACATAATTAGTTCAGTGCAAGTATGCAACTGTGGGATCTTCAGGCCTTTGCATTCTTCAGAGATTTTCCCTTTTTACAAAAAGAAAAATAAACATTTTTGCCTCTTTTTAATCTCTATTATCTCCTTTATATTCCTTAGAGCCTTTAAAGCCTTTAGAGCCTTCATCTACATGCTCGAAAGGGCTGAAGTTTAATATAAATGATTATTCTTGACTTGCATGCAGATGCGCAGCATAACTTTTGAGTGTATGTACACCTGCATAGTACATAAATATACATATATACATGGACTTATATATATATATAATATATATATATATATGTACATATATTATAAGGCATTTATATTTATATATATGTATATATAAATTTACAGATATGTAAACGTATTACATACCGTATATAGAACTGTACAAATGTACACAAATAGACGCAAATGTATTGCATATATATAATACGTATATACCTATATGAAATGTAGAAACAGTATATATATATAATTTATATATATATATATATGTATCTATATATATATGGGTACTCGTAATTAATATATATATATCGATGTTTTCAGATTCTATTTATGTGAAGTAAATCGATATGCTTACACCTAGAGAACGAAACAAAAACTACTAAATGCCTGCGCGACTCTACATAAGAATGCTTTTAGATGAAAACATGAACTGTAGACAAGTGTATTTAAATGGATTTATTAAACTGTATTTATTGAGATTGATTTATTAAGAAAAGAAATAAAACGTTTTATGGGAACAAGCTTTGACTTCTCGTGCTATCAGGTTTGCATGCACAAGAGGCCCGAGTGTAACTGTTGCTGCAAGCACTCTGGCATTATGTTGTTGAACATTTAAAATCTTTATTTCCTTTAATTAATTTTTGCATTTGTTTATTCTTCATTCTTTTTATTGTTCGCACTTGTTGCCGCATTGCCCGAGGCCTTTTCGCTGCTTTGCTGCAGCATATTTGCACTTGTAGTCATATTTATATTTAGCCATATATATTTACATATTTATATACTTATTCGTCCTTTTATACTTATTCTTTTGTTTATATATTTTCGGCGGTCTGCTGCTGCTGCCAAGGGGCCCCTTCCCCAGCCAAGATGCCCAAGGTTAGACCCTCACAGTATGGGCCTCTAAGGTACTATTTGGGGCCCTTAGGGTTTCTGGGGCACCATGGGGAGTTTGGGGCTCTTTTGTGGCATATGGGGCCCCCCTAGACAGTTTGGGGCCCCCCTGGGGCGTCTGGGGCCCCCTTGGAGAGTCTGGGGGCCCCCTGGAGAGTCTGGGGACCCCTTGGGGAGCCTGGGGGCCCCCTGTAGAGTCTTGGAGCCCCTATACATAAGGCATTTGGGGCCCCCCTGGGGCATCTGGGGGCCTCCTAGTACTACTGGAGCTCCCCTGAGGCTCCACACCCTCGGGGGTGTCAAGTCGTTCTGCAGCAGCTAGCTAAGGCTGTCGCAACGAACTGCAGAAGCTAGCTGCTGCTGCGGACTGCAGCAGCTAGATAAAGCTGCTGCGGCGAACTGCAGCAGCTAGCTGCAGCTGCTGTAGCTAGCTCCAGCTAGATCGAGCGCGTCCCGCTTCCGCAAAACGCAGCAGAGATTATAAATATTGGTGTATTTGTCTTCTTTTTCTCGGTCTCAGCTTTGAATGTTTTGTTTTTTACATTTTTTGTTTGTTTTGCATTCAATTTTTTTATTTCTGGTGCTGCTCATATCGCAGCTATTCTACCGGTTGCTGCTGCTCAGCCAGACACTGGCCCACTGCTGAGGTTGCTGCACCACGCCGGCAGCCGCGAGGTATTGCAATAAAAACGCAAAAATATATAAATATATTTTTAGTTATTTAAAATTAATTAAATTAAATTATTTTTATTCGTTATTTCAGGCCAAGTGGCCTGCAAGGCAGAAGCAGCAAGGCATCGCCAGCTCGAGGAGGTCACCTGGATTGGCTGTTGGCCAGCAGCCCCCGACTTCTGCACAAACAGGCCGTGGGAATACTTAAATCATTTGACTAAACAATTAATATTTATTTATTTGTTTTCGTGCAATTGATAGATGTAGAAAGAGAGGGAAAAGCGGGGCTCTGATGCATACATGCCGCCCGCCGTGCAGCCAACGAGGCCCCACCGGCAGCTCCTGCTGGAGTGTCTGTACGGCTCGCCTGCATATTCTTGCTTTCATTTCATCACTTAATTGTTTTTTTCACACTTATCTCATCTTTCCCAAGCTCTTTCCCCGTAACCAGTTGGGGGGGCCTTCAACGCCTGAAGTCTCCCTTGTCAGAAGCTTCTAGTAAGGCCCTGAAGCAAAGTAGGCAAGCTAAGCAGTAGCAGAGCCTTTTCAGCCCCCAGCAGCGGCTGCCATCTGCTGCAGCAGCAGCGCAGCAGCTGTGGTTGTGGCTGTAGCAGCTACAGCAAAAGCCTCTGCTGCTGCAGCAGCAAGCTCAGCAACTGCTGGTGCATGCCCTTCGCTTACACCTAACTAAACACATGATCGCCATATACCCGAGTTCAAAAGAGCAATTAACAGGGCCAAAGCCCTGCAAGCGCCTTCTCCATCTCAGCCCCCCGAAGCTAGGGCTTAGGGTTTAGGGTTTAGGGTTTAGGGTTTATGGTTTAGGCAAAGGCTGTAGATATGGTGAAGTCGCCGTCAGATGGCCCCAGCAGCCGCCGCGTGGGCTTTGGGGCTTTTTGGCGCGAGCGAGTGGCGCCTTGCTTCGCGCTGCATGCAACCACGTGCTTGCCTCTTTTGAAGAAACGCAAACAGCAGCAGCAGCAGCAGCAACAACAGGAGGAGGAGCAGCAGCAGCGGGCGGTCGCTCTTTGCACACACGCTGATGAAGCGTCGCACGCAACGGGAAAGCTTGAGGCGGCGGCACAAAGGGGCGCAAAGACAGCAGCAGCAGCAGCAACAGCAGCTGGGTCACCTACTGCAGCACGAAAAGCAGCAACAGCAGGAGCAGCAGCAGCAGGAGTGGGGGGCTCTGCTGCTTCCCCTGCTGCTTTGCCTGCCCTTACCGATGCCCAGCTGCAGCAGCAGCTAAAGGAGCTGCGGCGTTCCATAACCAGGTGGTCTACCAAACTTGCTGCTGCTCAGGCAGCAGCAACAGCAGAGCTGCAGCAGCTGCTGCGGCGAGCAGAAGCAGCAGCATTTCTACAAAGCAAAAAGGAACAAGCAAACAACCCACCAACGAGCGCCTCTCTGCAGCAAATGGAAGAAGCCAACTGCAGCAGCAGCAGCAGCAAGTAGTGCTCTCAGGGGGCCCCTGGGCTTCCCGTGGCTTCTCAAAGGGCCCCCAACGCTATTTGTTGCTGCTAGGGGCCCCATGGGGGCCTCTAGTGCCCTCTCCAGGGGGCCATGGCCCTCTTTGGGGCCCCCCAAAGCTTCCTCAGACCCAGCGTGGGGGCGCCGGGGTCACCGGGGACCCCTAGAGCTACTTGGAAAGCTGAAATGGGGCTTTGCATGCACTTGCTGCAGTTTGGGTTTGCATTTTGTTGCTGGCTGCTGCTTGGGACTATAAATTTCGAAATAGACTTTCTTGAAGTGTTGAACTTACGGAATCAATTTTATCGTTTTACGTTGGAGAATAGAAATGCAAAGAAACCTAAACTGAGATCTTCTCAGCCGTTTGGCTGCAGAACAGAGACACAACCCGTGGGCTGTATGTACACCAGATGGCTCTGCCCCTGCCGAGCTGCATGCAGCAAATGCAGAAACTGAAAAAAAGATTTTGCAGCAGTTTCTGTTGCTGCTTTTGGAAAGCTAAGCAGCCGGTAGTTCGCAGCCACCTGCCTTCCCAGCTAAGCAGCTAATAAACACAATAATTGAATAAACAAATATAAACTCCATGTTCACAAATATCACATAAATACTCTTATGTGATGCACGAGTGCTGCGTAGACAATATCTTCTGTCTTCATATTCTTGTGGACTCGCGAAAAGCCCCCGATTGTGTGCAGTGCCTTGCACTAATCCTAAGTTGAAAAGGACAATATAAAGCTTTAGTACCATTAGACGATGATCTTTTCTAATGAAACATTTAAATTGCCTTTCGTTTCCATTAACGCAGCAGCCTCGGTCGCTGTGCCTTCCTGGCTTCCAGCCACCTGGCGAGCACCGGAACCAAGGTGGTCACCGAGAGGCTGCTGGGGCTCTTCAAAAGAATTATTAATTGCAATTATATTTGAAATAAACGAAAACAAGATAAAGGATTTCCCAGTAGCCCTCTGCCTGTAGCTGGTCTCGCGCTGGGCGCTAACTGATCTTTGCAGCCGCCGGGCGGCGCGGCGGCGCACTGCAGCAGAGGCAGCCACCCCAGTATAAAGCCTCCAATTGAAGAAGATATTAATTTGAAATGATTAAATCGGGGCTTTTGTTATGTGCCTCTTGCTGATCATCGAGGTATCGCTTTGGTACAGCCGCAGCATGTGCAGCGCGGCGGACCAGTGGTCACTTGCTGCTGGTGCCTCCATCACACTGCAGCGCGCGCCTTGCGGTTAATTGGCGGATTTTCTTTCATATTTTTAGCATTAATTGTCTTCAATATGAAGCTGGAATCAAAGAAGGCCAAATATTGAATAATTTCAGCCCCGTTGGAAGCCTGCATATGCGTGCAGCTGCAGCGGCGGCGTGGCGGCCCCCTCACAGCTGGTTGAGTGACTGGTCTGAATCCGTTAAAGCCGCACCCGGATTATTTTGTCTCTCTATCAATTTTATCAAACAAATTTATACATTTTTCATTGTTTTTGGCGAAAATTTTAGCTTGGCTCACCAAGACCTTCGGAAGAGGCCTAGCGTTCTGCACACCCGCCTGCAGCACGCGACCGCCAGCGCGGTGGCTGAAGGCTTCTCTGGGGCTTCAGCTGTTCTTGAAGGGTTCTAAATTAGTCTTTAGCCAAGCTGCAGCCTTATTTCATCTTCGAGCAGGAACATGAGCCAGCAGAAACAGCAGCAGCAGCTGCAGAACACGGCGAACCTGTTGCACTGGTCCCGATACAGCTCGAGTTCCGCTGAGCTCCCTCTGGAGGACGTGCCCCTCGAAGGTTCTTCCAGAGGAGAAACAGATCCAGCAGAAGCCCCAGAATGGGTCCCCGCGAGCCCCCTGGGGGGCCCCCCGGGGGCCCCCGAGGCCCCCAGCGGGGCTGGCGAGCTGGCGCAAGACAGGCAGGATCTGCTGCCGGTGAAGCGGAGGGGGGGGCCCTGGGCAGCTCTTAAAGTGCTGCAGGAGCTGCTGTCGGTGGCAGCTTTTCACCGGCAGTTGCTGCTGACGGTGTTTTGCTTCAGCTTCCCTTTGCTGCTGTTTGCGGGGTGGAGCTGCGCAGACAGCCGGGCGCGGTGTCTGTACGCCGTGGCCGTGATGGTCCTTTGCTGGCTCTCCAACTGCCTGGACCCCTACGCAGTGGCTTTGCTGCCTTTTGTGTTGTTCCCGGGGCTGCGGGTGGCCTCGGTGGGCCTCGTGGCTTCCTTTTACATGAACTCCGTCAGCTTTTTGATCTTCGGCTCCAGCATGATGGCTGCAGCGCTGCGGCGGGTCAAGCTGGACCTCGCTGCTGCCCGCTGGCTCGCCCGCATATCCCCGCAGCACCCTGAGGACTTGGCCTTGTGTCTCATGTTGACTTGCTTTTCCATTTCCACTTGTCTCAGCAACACTGGCACCATGCTCATCTTCTGTCCCATCATTGACTTGCTCATAAGGGGGATTCACCCCCACACTTACGGGGGCGAGTCTTCGCCCGCAGACAGGGGGGGGCCACCGCCGCCGCCGCCGCAGCAGCAGCAGCAGCAGCAGCGGCGGCAGCAGCAGCAGCAGCAGGAGAGCGTGGAGTCGGACTTGTCCCGCTGCGCGTCTGGGTCCAGAAGCAAAGTGAGCCCTCTGGACAATTGTCTCTGCGTTATTTCCGTCGCGCCGTCGACAGCCGTCACGGGCTCCTCCCCTGCTGCAGCAGCTTCTCCACCGCCGCAGCAGCAGGAAGCCAGTGGACCACTGGACCAGCAGCTCGAAGAGGAGATCCTGCACGAGCCCCCGAAGCTGCGGCGAATCCGCAACTTGCTGTTCATTGGCTGCGCCTACGCAGCCACACTGGGGGGCTCAGCTACGGTGACAGGCTCCACGAGCAACGCCATATTTCTGGCAGTTCTCGATGCAATGTATGCCACTCTTCCTGCTGCTGCTGGGGCTGAGGGCCCCCAAGTAAACCCAGTGACTTACACAACTTGGCTGGTGGTTTCTTTGCCCCTGGCTCTAGTGCAGCTTTTCATGGTTTGGGCGTCTCTGTGTGCCCTATGGACGGGCCCTAGGGCAACAAAGGCGGCTTTGGCGCGGCTCGCCTTTTGCTGCTGCATGCCCCTGAAAGCAGCCCTTTGCTGCTGCTGCTGCTGCAAGTGGGTGCGCCCGCGCCGCGCGAGCCGGGAGCTCAGCGCTGCTGCAGCTGCCCCGGGGGGGCCTGGGAGCCAGGGGGCCCCCAGAGGCCCCAGGGCCCCCACAGGCAATGCATGCGCTGCAGATCACGGGGAACTTTACTGGGGGCGCGTGTACGTGGTTGTGGCCTGGTTGCTGCTGGTATGTTTGTGGCTGTCTCGAAAGACAATTGTGCCGGCAGTGCCAGGCTGGGGCACTCCTTGGGAAGGCTTCATAGATGATTCTTTCGCAGCTGTGGTGGTGCCTCTAGGCCTCTGGTTTGCGCCCCTCTATCCCAGGCGTCCCAAACCCTCTATTGCAAGAGCTGTGAGCCCATTGTTGAAGCTTCAGCGCATGCACACTGCGAACTGCAAAAGAAAACTAGACCCTTTGAACAGTTTGAAGGGCCGAAATGGAGGGCCTGGACTCCCTTTTACCTATATAAGCTGTGGACACCCAGTAGTATACTTGTGATGCATCTTGGGTTCGAAGCCGACGCGATCTCAAACTTTTCATGTTTCGTTTGCTGTTCTTGTCTGCAAATCTTGTGCAGATTTCTGCCCCTGTGCGCTGGGCAAAAAGACAGCGAAGAGTTCGCTTTCCTGAGAATGATGCTAACGAGGCCCCTGCTGCTGCGGCTGCTGCTGCACCGCGCACTGTAGCAGCAACTCGAAAGCAGCCTGAGTTCGAAGGGATCCTCACGTTTTCAGTGGTTGAGAAGGAGATGGATTGGGGACTGCTGTTCTTGCTGGGAAGCGGCTTCGTGGTGGCGTCTGTGTCCCATGTTTGTGGGCTCGACATGGTTTTAATAGACTACATGGAGTTTCTGAAACAGCAGACCAAAGAAACCCAAGTTGCTTGCATTATGGCTATGGCAGCGCTCGTCACCCAGGTCACCAGCAACACGGCCACTGCCAGCATCATCATGCCTTTGCTTTCAACTGCTGCCAAAGGGCTGCAGGGGAACCCTTTGCTGCTATTGCTTGCTGCAAACGTAAGAAATAAGTTGATTAGCAATGACGTGAAAATACACGAACTAACTTAGGTGTGCACACAGCTTAGTACATGCGTGTTTACTTTGTACTGGGAATACAAATTTTCAAAAAAAACGCATATGTTCAAGTAGCCCACGAGCACACATAGTCGAGATTCTAATGCTAATATGGGACCCCACAAGGAGATGTGCTCAGTGATTCACCTGCATGCTACGCTCACAAAACAACAGGTTTCGTTTCTGTAAGGCTTAACAGATTCTATTGCTGTGCTTCCTCTGCAGTCTTAGGTACACGTTGTCACTCCGAGGCTGTATGAGCTTGGGTGAAGCATGCGATTGCATGAGTAAGGCAGCTTGTAGCGAGTCTGTTTTTGCATAATCGTGTCTGCCTGTCTTCGTTTTTCTTTGGTTTGCAGTTCGCGACCACTCTGGGCTTTCTGTTGCCCGTCAGCACGGCCTCCAACGCAGTCATAGTTCGGTTCACGCGAATCGGAGTTTGGCAGTTCTTCCTCAGCGGCCTGTTGCCACTGGTTCTTTGCCTCGGGGCAGCTTATGTGGCCAGCCTAACGTGGGTGGCTGCTGTGTTTCGGCTCAACAGTCCTTACCCCAGTAGCCCGCAGTGAGGATCTGTACAAACACTCCATGCGCCCACAGACTGAAGGACTTCGTTAGAGCTATGGGGTGAGGGTGTAGGTAGTAATTGACTGTCAGAGCTAGAGAGCTCGGGCCAACCTGTGGGAAGGGAAAAGTGCTTTATTTGAGACCAAGGGCGGGATTCGCCGCCGTCTAAAGTTAAGTTGCCTGTGAGGGGGAAAATAAACCCGGAGCATGCGCGGTTTTTCTGCATCCTTCCTTCTTATTTGCTCGGAAGCAGATGTGGACCTGCTCTATACGGTAACATGTAAATGAAATTTTTAGTGTGTTTGCATCTCTCTAGAAGCACCATGCTATTTGACCACTTCAGTGGCCCACTGCCTGCAAATTCCATTTGCTGCATCGTCAGCACCTCAACAGAGGCGCAGCGAGTGTAAAAAAGAGACCGGCGGAGTTCCTCTCCGAGCTACCGTAGGCGCCTCACCTCTACCCACAAAGGTTTCTTCTAGGCCCTGTCAGTACAATTCAAAGCGGTAGAATTGAGTATGGCGTGAAACCCGGGGAGTGAAGCCCAAGTGCCCAAAGCATACTAAAGTGCACTAACGAGTGGCCATATGGCAGCCCGGCAGCCAGCACCACTTGACATCACCCACTACCCATGTTTGGACAAGTGTGATAGTTCCAAAAATTCAAAAGTTCGCAGTCTTTTAGACCAAAAAAAGCGCACTGTGTGTTAAGCTTGATCATCGGGCACAACGCCGGATGGCATTAGCTGGTTCGCGCCTATGCACCATGCAACAGAAACTGCATGTCTTAAACGTTGTGCATTGTCTTTGCAAACAAATTGGCTCGCTCGCCCCTGAAGAGGCAAAAGCAGCCCTACAAGATGTCAGTTGAATGCAGTGGCACCGTGGAGTCAGCCCTGCAAACGCTGCAAAACGCTGCATTCCCAGCTGAGATACAGCAGTGCCAAGGGCGTCAGAGACGGCTTCGGCTCTCGCTCCTTCTTGCTGTTGACCCCTTCTTCTGTATCAATCATTTATATCAGAGCCAAATCTATCAACCAGTCTGTCCAGCTTCTGTCCGTACCAGTGTTGGAACCGTCGCCACATTCCAGGGTCTGGGGGGGGCTGAAGGCCCTCTTCTGCATTTTCTATGCCTTCACTAAATCTGTTTTCGTTTTTTGCCTTTGTTTCTCTGAACTCTCGAATTTCTCTTTCGTACACATCTATATTGTTGTTGGCTTCTCTTTGTTTCTTTTCCTGGAGCTTCCTCTTCTCCTTTTCCTCCTTTTCTTTTTTGAAAGTTGGCACCTTATCTACAAACTCACTTATCGTAGGCGTTGAGTCTTCGTCCTGCGGATTCAAAAGCGACGTATCCAGCTCAACTCCTTCCTCATCAGTTGTTACCACCGCCTGCCCGTCGTACAGCATAGGGCTTTTGCTCCTAGAGCTTGGTTGCTTGCCATCTGCATCGTTTGTTTGATTTCTGTCGCTTGACTGCGGCTGGTCACCAGCCTTCACCCCCTCTTCCCTTTCCTGAAGGTCTTCCTCGTCCTCGAGAAGATCTAGGTCGTCCTCTGCAGCTCCTGCTACTGTGGGCTCGGCGTCCTTTTCCGCTGGTGTTCCGGTTGCATCTGGTTCATCTAAGTCAATTAGCACGTGCTCATCGTCTCTTGATTCATCATCATCGTCATAATTGTCCCTTTTTCGCTTCTGCTGGTCCTTGGCGAGGTCACCCGCTGATAGTGCTCCCGATCCATCATCATCAACATTGTAATCCTCTGCATCGAATACCTCATCTTCCTCCACCCTTGAAGCCTCACCCACCTCGGAAGCATCTAAAGCAGAGGCCCAAGGGCGAATGAAGGCGTGAGAAACCGCCAGACTGGCAAAAAGCAGATAGGCGACCTTTCGCATCTTGTCTGTTCGTCAAATAAATGTACCCGCGGCTGAAGCGGCTGAACCGAAGCCGCCGCTCAAACACTGAATTATGTATACAGATCCCTTCAACAGGTTTAACAAATCGAATTGAATATAAAGGGAGGAGATTTCCGCAGCCGGCGTCGCGTCGCTCTGGACGCCACTGGAGCAGAGGGCTCGCTAGGTGCCCTGACCACTGTTGCAACAGCCGCCCTAAAGAATGTGACTACCACTAAATACTTCACAATCAAACTTAATCAAGCAAACCTGGAAAGACAATAAGCTGAGTTAGCACAGTCAGGCTTAGTTCAGAAGCGGCAGCTGGTGGAGCCAGTTCTTGTCGATTCTGCACAGCAGTTGTAGTGTTGAGCGAGAGCGAGTCACACCCAGAATGACCCCCGTAAGTGGTTACTATCTATGCATTCCCACTGAGATTGCCTTTTTAGTGTATTTAGTCCTAGTGAATTTGAACATGTTGTTATTTCTCCTCCTCGCTGCCTCATTAGTGGTCAGAATGTCCGAGGCCTGCTAGTACAGAGCCATGCCACCTGCTTTTCCTCCATTTTGCTCTTTGTACACACTTCTTGTTCTTTTCACAGTGCATTTTAGCTAATGGTTCGGATAGTAAGCTTATGCTGAGCCCTTATCAATGCTTCAAGTCTCCCGGTCATGTTTTACCTGATGCTCCTCCACATATACTTCTCCTGACGAACGGTCTCATACACACCGAGCAATTCATTGCCAGTGAGCACAACACTCTGCTATTGGCTCAGATTTAATCGCTTGCTTTTCCTGTTCTAGGCAAAGCTTCACCATACCACACTGCGAAACTGTGTTCGGTAACCGCTGGGAGGGCATGTACTATGTCCATCCTAAAGCTTCGTACATCCAGAGAAGAAGTGACACCTTACTGGCCTTTCATTTCGACAAATGTTTCCCAACATTGCCTATTCTATAAAGGCCTCAGTCCTGTCGACCCCCACTTTCACCTAGCCAGCTGTTTTCGCCCAGGACATATACTTGCATATACTGCTCTCTGCCTTTTGTAAACAGTCAGCTGAAAAAGCGTAATAGCAGTGCACACTTCAGAAAAATATCAGCGGTAAAGCCCGACATGTCTAAAAGCCAAGCGTATGCCTCCGCCTCCGTAGGCCCAGGAAGAGAAGAATACAAAGTGGTTACGGCCGAGATCTGCTGTTCGTGTGAAACAAGAGAATACCGAGCCTGAGTGTCCCACGTTCCTTTTCTACAGAAGTTTATGCGCCTGGCTAAGTCCGTTCAACACAGAGAATGCCCACAGTGAAAAGCTTCAGTGCACGCTTGGGTTCTAGAGTCCGTGAGTGCTGGTGAAGCATCTCACAAAAATTTGATCACCACATTACAAGGGCAGTAGAAATTGTTTTACGTCAATTGTAGTGTATGGAAAATGATATAAATGCCATCTTCACTGCGAAGCTTAAGACACAGGACTGATGGCTTAGCTTCCTGCCTCGGCCTCGCCTAGCATCTCCAGCCCCAAGAAAACCGAAGTAATAGATTCCATCATCTCGCATCCATAAATCGATCTGAACCCCTTAATATACGAAGAGATCCCTCGGGGGCTGCGGGATAAGCTCCAATGATTAGGCTGCTGGACAAGGTCCAATGCTTAAGCGGGATTGAAGCTACGGCAGACTGCTCTAATCATTTATATGTCGCCGGCGGATGACCCGAAACATACGCTGCCACGAGGACGCTTTGCTGTGGTTGCTATAGGGAGCATCGGGCTTGATGCAGCTTTCCTGCTGCCTCTGTAGGTAGGCACGGATGACCAGAGAAGCACAACGCAGAAGCATTGCACAGTGTCCGAGTTGGCACCTGGCCCTCATGCAGCACCAGCTTGTTTGCTTGCTTGCTGTTTGCATCTATGTCTGCCTTCGTTTGTGTCTCTCGATAGATGCGGCAAGGGAAGGAGCACTGTCGGTAAGCATGCCTTACAGACTCTATCCCTTCTTCCCCGTCGTCGGAATACGCCCTTACAAGACCCGACATGGTTGTCTTGGTACAGTCCTCAGATCCCTCCTCATCCCTTTGTGTTATCCATCTATACACATGCAAGCGCATCTGGACATAAAGTTTCTAGATTAGGTGCGGCGGCTGGTGTGCATACAGGCTTCAAAGCGCAGAGCTGTATTATCGTCAGGTTGCCTTCATTTGTTTCCTGTTTAACACAACAAAGCCTCGCGGTATCATCATGGCAGCACTAATTACAATCGCAGCAAAAACAGCAGTGTTGTGGTGGCGTGCCTATGCTGGAGTGCCTCTTGCGCTGTGAGGCGTTTCTCCTGGTCGACCTCCAATAACGCCGATACAAACTCGATTCCCAAACTCGAGGGCATGTTCGGGCCAGCAAAGTAGCTGTACACAAGACGCATGCACGAACCCAAACATACCCTAACCTGTAGCTTCAGCTTCTGCTTAAAGCGCTAGGCAACTGGACTGAGAGCGCCAATGGCTATGCTTCATGCGGGGTGCAGAACGCAATGCACGCGTGTTGTACAGCCCAGCTGACACACTTGACTTCGTCATGGAGAATGCTTTTGCAGACATCGAGAGAAGAGGACCCTTGAAAGGGGTACCGCCCGTACAGCATGACGAACACAAGCACTCCCAGAGACCACATGTCCGCAGGGAAGGAATAGGAACGCCGGAGAATTTCGGGTGACAAGTAGTGGGGGGAGCCACATATCTGCATTAAGTGCAGGAATCCATACTCTAACACTGTATCTGAGGTTCGCGGCCTACAGGATGTTGCAAAAGGTGGCGTGCAGGTAGCGTGCACTCATAAAACATCAGCGTCTAAGTTAAACATTGCGCTTTTAATCAACACTTGAGGCATTTGGCTACAATGTGGAAAAAATGCAAGCCCCTTATGCTCTCTCCACATTCATGCTCTGTAGAAGGATCAGCTGAATGTTAATATCTTCGAAGCGCAGCTTGTGATGAAAGACTCAAAGCTCCCTTAGCTGGCTGTGCGCTATATCAGGCAGTGTTGTTATTTCCAATTCCGTACCTTTCGTAAAGGTAAAGAGGGATTAACTATGGCCGATATGCCGAAGTCGAGAAGA